CAAAACACAGTGAATAAACAAGGGAACACTGTACTTTATGGAGTATCAACTTACCTTGGAGAAAGGGCGAATGTTTAGAACTGGGATAGAGCCCATCCAAACAGCAGGACCTAGACACGGGGTAGAATGTGCTCAAAGAGCCTGATTCTTCTCTGAGTGCCCAAACATATCACCACTCAACACTAAGAGAAAGAGTGAATGGATTATTTCTTTACCTATTTTTCATTTTCAATATTCACATGGGTATAAGACCCAATGTACTCACTTCTCAACCATAAGTCATGGAGAGAAAAAGCCTGATTTCAGAAGGACTTAATGAAAAACATGAAGAGGTCTAATGGGGTTACAGGGAAGAATATGAATCGTTTTCCATAGTGTTGTCACATAGAGGTAAAGTTCGAAGTTTACTAATCTAAAAAGAAATGATGCACAGAAATCACCATAAGAAGCAGGTCATGTGAAATATGAAACGGATGATGTGTAAAGGTCATTTTTATTTTAGGGAGTACCAATTAACTCTCCTCTCAGAGCTAGGAGACAAGATAGAGCTCCACTAATATAAGGGCCAGGTTACTTCCAAGAACTCTGTTTCGAAGTACACATGACAACAGCAACCCCTCAATTCTTCTCCCCCTCTCCCTCACTCTCCTTCCCACCACCCACTGCTGTACATATCTACAAAAGATTGGACAAGTTTTGTCAACTTTCTTAGTCCTCTTGGAAATTATTTCCTTTACTCACCCTGCATAGCTCTTTCCTTACCCCACACCTATAGAAAGCCAATGTGTTTGTTTATCGGTTGCCCCATTTTTATATAATTCAGGTGGTGAGTTTACGAATGTAATGGTTTCATGCTCGCTTAGCATGTAGTTCAGGCTTTTGAATATAACCTATGATGATTAATGTTACGTGTCATCTTGGCTAGGCTATGGTGCCCTGTTTATTAGTCAAACACCAGTCTAAATGTTGCTATGACACTATTTTTTAGATGTGATTAATATTGAAACCATCACACTTTGGGTAGGCAGTTACCCTCCCAACTGTGTGTGGGCCTCATCTACTCAGTCAAAGGCCTTAAGAGAAAAGTCTGAAGGTTCCCTATAAAGAAGGAACTCTCCTCAAATCTGCAACACAGAGACTCCACTGCCCTGCAGAATTTGAACTCAAGGTTGTAATATGTTGTCATAACTCTTGCCTTAGTTTCTAGCTCATGGCCTTCCCTACAGATTTTAGACTTGCCAGTCCCTAAAATTCTGTGAGCCAATTCCAATTCCTTAAAACAATTTATATATGTGTATATATATATATATATATATATATATATATACACACACACATATACATACACACACACACACACATCATGGATATTATATATATATAATCATGGAGATATATATATAATCATTATATATATATATATAATCATGGATACACACACACACACACACACACACACACATACACATGATCTTCTATTGCTCCTATTGGCTCTGTTTCTCTAGAGAACCCTGACAAATATATAATCAAATTATCCTTCCTTCATGTGGCATCCTTGCAACCATGCCTTCTTTAAAATAAACATATAAGTGCTTCTTCATTTTCAGAAACGTTTGTGTGCTGCTGATTACTCTGCAGATGTTCTTTGTGACCACAGAGGGGAGATCAGGCCCATCCATCACGGTCTCAGGAATTAGTGTGCGAGCCTCAGCTGGTGGGTCTACAGCTGGAGGGTGACCGAGGTGTTGGCAGAACCTCTGGGGAGACTGATCCTAGGGAGCTAAAACACAGTGCTGAACATCCTAAGGGAGAGAGTGTGTCTCTTACCACTTACAACAAGTTTGGTGAAAAGAGTCAGTAGGTGGAGGGCGAGGAGCAAAAACATCTAACACTTCCTCAGGTTTTGAAAATAGGATTTACTGCTCTCAAGATGGTGTGAATGCTGAGAGGGGCCACACTTGGGTGAGAGAAGGGCAAGAAGCCAATCTGTAGCTACAGTGTCATATTGCATATATTAGCAACCTACTTCTATTTTTGAAGATCAGGTTTTAATTTTTTTTTTTCAGGACAGACTTCATTTTGGGTATTCTGTCCTATGATGAGATTATCTGTTAGAATATGTTTCCAGGTTTTTGGCTAGCAAAATATGGCTATCTTATCATGTTATTTCTGTGATTCCTTTCCTGTCTGCATGATTTCCGTCATTTTCTTCTTCCCAGTTAACTTGACTAGCCTCTCACCCCTTCTGTGTCTTTCTACATTATGACTTTCATTTAATGTTCATCTTGAATTGCACCCTGTGGGGCACAGTAGGATTTTCATGGGTCTTAGACACTTTTGCCTTCATGGGCTCCGTCTTTCATTAAAAATTATATATATATATATATATATATATATATATATATATATATATATATATAAAATTTATTTTACATCCTTGTTGGCAGAAATAAATATAATCCATAAGGGAGTATCCAGTAATCATTTTTTTCTTTTTGATTTTAAAAGAAATTCAAAGCTTCTCATGGGCCCTTAAAATATAATGGGCCCTGGACACTCTGCCTTCTGATCCTGCTGGATAGTAAGCTGTCTGGGTTCTTCTGTAAAACACTGTACACAGATGCCTCTCCTCTTACTTACTAGCATTAACATACACTCTGGATACAGAGAGACTCAAACTCAAGCTCCAGCTTCTTCACTTTCTAACTATAAACCAGAGCAAGTGATTCAGCCTTTCTGAATATCATTTTCCTCCTTTGTATAATTCTTACCTCATACAGTTGCCACAGTAATGCGAGATCATGCGTACACAGTGCTTAGTACCTGGTCCATGGCAAATGCTTATAATTGGTAGCTATTTCTATCTAAACTGACGTTGGTCATTGACTATCTTCAAGTATTACACTATTGTCTACCTTTTTACTTATGTTTAACTCCCTTATTAAACTGTCAACTCCTAGAGGGTTGGGAATAAGTTTTAGACCAGTGATCCTCAAACTTGAGCATGTATCAGAATCACCTGAAGGAAGTGTTGAAACGCGGATGGCTAGACCCCATCCTGAGTTCTTGATTCAGAGCCCCGGTATGGGGCTGGTCATTTCCATTTGTAACTAATACCCAGGTGAGGCTGAGGCCGCTGGTTTTTGGACCCCAACTAGAGAGTCACTGCTTTAAACAGCTCTGCCTCCTCCAAAATCTAATACAGAGGGAAGCTTTCAAGTACTAATATTTTGATACTAGTAGTGATACTAGTAATAATCCTAGTATTTTAATAAAACAAATATTTCCGAGTAAATTATTTATGCAACAGGTAATAAAAATGCCAGCAGAAAAATCTGCCCCCTTTCCCAACTGTGAGAAAGAATCCCTCACTGCTGCAGGGGTTGAGCAAAAAGGGATGAGCAAAGAAATCTTATTGAAAGAAAAGGGGCAAGTGGCACAGTTGAATACTATCATCTGTTTGATTTCAGGGGCATGTGCAAAATGCAGACAAGAAGCCAAACAATAGCTCCGCCAACTCCAGGCTTCCTGAGTTGTTAGCACAATCTATAACAATGCCAGCACGGCTGCTGGGGTCCATCTGCTGCTCTACTGCTGATAACGGATCTGGGGTCTCTGGAAGGGAATAGCTTGACAGGAAGAAGAAAAGATTAGACCAACTGAAAATGGCTGGATTTATGAAGCTGCACTTGACTATGGCACAGCTTTTAACTCTTTATGGAACTTTACTAACCCTCAACATACCCCTGCTTTTCTTTGGGTTCTCTGTTCTCTTCCTGGAGAAATGTAGTTTGTGAGTACCAGAGCTCTTCTGGATACCTTGTATTTATACACAAATTAACTTTGCATGCTGATGGAAGGCTTGAGATCCTTCAGCCCCACCCACCGGTTTTACAGATTAGGAAATTTAAGCCTAGTTATCCTAAAATATATAACTAATATGACAGTCAGGCTGAAGTCCAGATTTCTTGACCCATAGTGAGTACTGATGCTTATAGTCCTTTATTCTCCCAAAATGGGTAGAAAAAAATATATCTTTTCTCTACTTCATTGTAGAGAAATTGATAGAGAAATCATATTTCCCCCTTTTCTTAAGATACTTTTCACAATTTGCCCTTTTATCTCTGAAAGCAGGAGGGCAAATGAAGAGAAACATGAATAACTCCAGTGTCAGCAGGGCCTAGAGGCTTGGGGACAGGGATGACATCCTCTTCCCTGCTATACATCCACTGGCTGCCCATCCACTGGCGTCCCAGCCACTCAGCACACAGCAGATTCTCAAAAACCACATGGTGAGTTAAGGAAGGAAGGGAGGGAGGGAGGGAGGGAGGAAGAATAAATGAATCACTGGTTTGATGGTTGTTTGCCAATTTTTCAGCCAATTAAGGAATGGTATTTCATACTAAGATTTTCATCCTGCTATGCAGTCTCCTTATTCCTACTGTAAGGTAGGTGCTTTTGTGTGTGTCTGAAGGGAAGTATAGGTTTTTGGGGGTAGAAAACGTTGAATCCCAGACCGTTCACTCTGGTTCCTGGATTCTAGGCAAGTCATAGAGTCTCCCTGAATCTTAAGTCTCCTTCCCCCATGGTATGTGTAAAATAAAGATAATAATATCTCCTACCTCAGGGTTGTTGTTAGGATTAAATTAGATAATGTTGCAAACTGCCTGGTGCTGTGAATTAATGTTAGTGCCCTCCCCATGTCAGTTCCAACTGCCTGTTTAAGAACAAAACTGGTGTTGAATAGGTGGAATCAAGGTAAATAATGGGAGGGTAGGTATAAGATCCTGGGTGAAAAGCAAAGGGGCTTTTTTTTGGCTGAAAATATATACAAATCATTATTATCATTATGGTTATCCACCAGCTATTTTTTCTGATGGTATGCTTTGCAATAAATATAAGCAAGGTAGTCATTCCTACTATTCCATAATCCTTCACTGTTTTGCAGGCTTCTAATGAAATAGTTTTCAGGAAAAGAGTAAATCCAACTTGTAGCTTACCCGTTTGGTCTTGGTTTCCTTGTTCTGGGGTCAAGAAACTCCGTCTCCTCCTCTATTTCCGTTTCAGGGATGGCGTTTTTCTGAGACAGCTGCGGTGAGAGCATTTCCCATTCATTGTCGTGGGTGACAGGCTGCAACGGCTGTGCATCTGGGCCCGCCCTGCCTCGGCCCTTGCTCTTCCGAGATTGGCTGCCATGACCAGAGGCTTCCTCTAGTGCTAAAGATTCTAGAGGCATTGTTTCTCCCAGCACTTGCATTTGGGAACCCTTGCCCAAGTTGTGATCAGAGGCTGGCTCCACAGCCTTGTCAGACCATTCAGGCCTTTTGTCTGTAGCTTCTGATGATAGGTGGCCAACCTCACTATGGCCCAAGACCATCCAACTCTGTTCTTGCCCAGGGCTTTCAAGAGGTGATCTCTCATCATCTTTGGAAGACATTCTCTCTGCAGAATGATCTTTTCTTTCATTTAAGGAGTCAGGCTGACAGGTGTCTGGGATGCTTGCTAACTGAGTTCCCGGCAGCCCCATTTGTTGGGAATCTATGTGCAACGCTTCCAATACAGATGTGCTTTCTCCTGCTTCACAGGCCTCTGGCTTTGGGGGTGAATTTTCTTCGTGGTTTACAAGTATGTAATCCATGTGCTGTGTACAACGGTCTTCATTCTTCTCTGTGTACATTTCTTCTCTGTATTCTGGTTGTATCTGTCCAGACACTTTGGTAGAAATTACTGTTTCTTCTTCAAACTCTAATATTCCCTTGCTGGCACCTGACAGTGGAAGATGAAGGTGAGAAGGGGAGAAAGAAGGCGTAATTAACACATTATGTGATTTGTGATCTTTGCAAATGATCCATCTAAAGAGAGATAATTTAAGATGTATCTGTTTAACAGATGGTAGCCAGAGAAGAGGGAGGTGAGGGGACTGGGTGAAAAATGTGAAGGGATTAAGAAGTAACGGTTATTTGTTACAGAATAGTCGCAGGAATGTAAAGTACAGCATACAGAATATAGTCGATAATACTGTAAAACCTGTGTATGGTGCCAGGTGGGTACTTGAAATATCAGGGAAACACTTTGTAAAGCCTATGATTGCCTAATCACTATTCTGTATACCTGAAACTAATACAAAATAATATTGAATGTAAACTGTAGTAAAAAGATATTTTATAGCAAAAAAAATCTGTTTATTCGTCTCCTGTACTCTCAAGAATAGGTATTATACAAACAGTAGGTATTATTGCTGTAATATAGGACTTGGCTAGGCATGCATTGCAAATGTAGTTAGTTGCTGTTTACCTACATTGGTAGGCAGAAGGTGTTTTGCAAATGGGTTAATTGAATGAAAGCAGCAGTTCCCAGTTTGGAAGAATGGGATGTTTCTTACCATTTGATGGTCCTATGTCTCCACCTGCTGGCGAATCTGAATGATCTGTTTCTACTTCCCAGTCAATGTTGGATGGCGACAACTCCACACTGGACTCACCTCTCACAGGCAATGAAAGTGACTCAGGGTCTTCATGAATATGTAGTACATCCAGCTGGTGTTCAGGCTGTCTGATCTGGGTCTCAGTGTGGTTTTCCTTGCTTATTTGATCAGGAAGAGCGGAAAGCAACATCTCTGCTGCTTCGCTCCCTAGAGACTCATCCCCTGCAGCCCCAGCTTCCTCTGTCAGTTCAACACCAAGAGTAGGTTCTGTGAGATAGGACAAGTCAAAGGGAGGCGTGTAAGGTGCCAGCGACTGCTTGAGGGCACCTTCTTCCAAGGGATGGTCACCACCATAGAGAAAGTGTTCAGGCTCTTTCATTAAATCTTCATCAATATTTTGGCCCATGACATCATATTCAAAATCACCCCATGAGGCTTCTGATGAACAGATATCTTGCTTTCCAACATCCCCATCCACTGGTGTATCAGGATTGCCTTCTGATAATGTCAGTTTACTCATGTCATCTATTGTTCCCGTGGATGTGTTGAGACCTGAGGCGTCACTGAAACTGCGTTCGAAGGCAGCTTCGCTTACATCCAGACAAGTGTCCGAGGCTAGAAGAACATTGGGAACCAAGGCAGGGTTCTCGGTGGTCAGAGGCTGCTCAAGGTCCAGCAAGGCTCCTGCATCTGTCTGACTTTCAGGAGAAAAGTCCTCTGAGATCCAAGAGCTGTCGCCATCCACAGCTGGCTCTTGGTGGCTTACAAAAATTCTGGTTCCCACCTTTTTAATCATTGGGATTGTTCTGTCAGTGGGTTCCAAAACTGGTGCCATATCTGGGTCAGCTCCTTTTTCTGATGCTTTTAAACCTGTGTTGATTTCACCCTTTATGTCGGGCTCACCCTTTATGGGAGAACCACTGTGAGAGGTGGCAGGCAGAGGTGAGCCATTTGTGTTTGCTTGGTCGCTGACTGGAGACAGTGGAATTGTGTTCTCAGAAAATGCTTCTGAACCATGTGGAACAAATTCCTGCCCAGGCTCGTGGCTGGGTTCTTCATCTAGCTGTGGCTCGGTGAGATATAATTCCCTGGCTTCCCCTTCGGGTCCCATCCTAGCGCTGATGTGCTGCTCAGTCTCCTGCTTGGCTTCATAATCATGACATATATCAGGGCTGTTGGAAGCCTGAGAATTGTTGTCTTGGTCACAGTGAGTCAGTATATCAGGATTCTCACCATCTGCTTTCAAACTGAAGGGCTGCTTAGCGTCTATCCACAAGTCAGGCGAAGCTGAGGCCAACTGCCCTCCCTCTTGAAAGTTTCCATGTAAGATATCTGGGGCAAAGGTGCTTTGGAGGCTCTCGTTGGGGCCAGCATCATCCCATTCGGCACCCGAATTCTTTATCAACTGGGTAGAAGAACTGACAGCAGGGAAATCTTCTGAGGCAATGCTTGAATTTGTCGTTTCACTGGGGTGTGATTTTTCTTCTTCCCACAAACTTGTTTCTTGACACTCAATAGTGGAGACATTAGATATAACACATCCATTTTCATCATTGTGAGTAAATGTTGGATCTGGCTGATCCCAGATGGATAGCACTGTATTTTGACACTGCTCTTGGGTAGGTGTTTCAGGATTGAGTTTGTCACCAGCAGAAGACATGAAGGTTTGCTCTCTGGGATCCTTATCTTTAATTTGGTCCAATATTACAAGCTGGCTAAGCTGATCAGCTTCTGGGTCTGGCTGCCTTGGTTGAATGTTCCAAAGTTGCTCGTGGGAGTTCTCCCCATTACTATTTAGAAAGGGTGACTGATGTTGGTCACTGAAAGGATTAGTACAACGTGCTTCAATGGATTCCATAGCATCCTGAATAGGTACTCCCCATGGACCCACGCTGTGGTAGCCTGAAGAATTCTTCTCTAACATACCATCTGGGTTAGATAATTCCCCTTCGAATGTACTCTCAATTGGTTTCCCCTGCTGTAGTGATTCATTCCACCACTCAGTGCTCTCAGCTGAGAAGCTAAACACTTCTGATTTAGAATAATTTTCATTCTTTGATTCAGTTTTGGGAGATGTTTGCCATATGATATTTCTTATCTTCCCTACTTCTGGAGATCTTGTCTCCTTATCTGCTGCTGTCACCTGTATTTCAGCCTCCTTTAGCGGTGAGAAATTCCAGTGATCAGGGCTGCTTTGTGGAGTGTCACAGAGTGGGTTTGATGTGTTCTCGTTCTCTGCTGGGCCCGAACTGCCTACGTAGGCAGATCCTTCCTCAGACTTGGGATCTGTCATGGTCAAGAACTTATTAGGTTCATCCAATGAGTCCCAAGCTCTGGGTTCACGCTGAGCAATGTGGTGAGTGGCCAAATGGCTCTCTTTCCCCCCTGACTCCTCATCACCCACGCTATCATCATCAGAACCTGGGCTCCTCGAAATGCGCGTGGCATCCTCTGGCTGCACAGCGTCAGCGATGTCCCATTCACTGTTCTCCTGACGGCTAACCCCTAGGTTTCTTTCCTGATAAGCACCTGAGTATTCAGAATATTTACCTATTTCAGGGCTAGATAAAGAGGAAAAGGAATCACCATCTACTGAGTCATCCCATATCTCTAAAAATTTAGGAACCTTGTGATCTAACCCATCCATTCTGTTTTTCTCCAGGTCCTTCCTCTCAGTAATTACTTCTTCTTCGCCATCAGTAGTAATTAGTCCAGATTCCTGGTGATTCTGTTTACTCCCATCATCCTGATTCTCCTCCTGACACCCAGTATTGGTTCCATGATCCCAAGAAAGCAGTGCAGCTGAAGAACCATTTAGGTCAGGACTTGGTGCACTTGAATGTGTACACTCACTAGAAATACTACTTCTGTCGCAATTTCCTGATGAACGGACTCCCAGAGGGCTGTTTTCAGCATTGTTGCCTTCAGGATTCTTAGTTATCTCGGAACTTGTGCAACTAACCTGCACATCACTATCTGTAGGGCCATCCCAAACGTCAAGGCGTTGAGGACATTCAGGAGGTGGCTCTTGGTTCACACTCTCTGGCTCCAGAACATTGCATTCTTCAGTTTTCTCAAGATCCATTTCAGGTAAAGATACATTTTTTGTTAAATTTGGCCTATCTGAAATTTCAGCAGTTTCACTGGAATTTCTGTGATCCATGAGGTGCTTTCCACAGGTTTCTTTTGCTTGCAGGTGATTTGTGGACACTTCTGCCTGCATGTCACAGGGGTCTGAGCAGTGGGACCCCTTCTCATGCTCTACAGCCTCCTGGGGGTCCTCAGTCTGAGGACCGGATGGGTCTGAGGGAGAGCTGATTTTGCCTGACTCATCACAGATTTCTTCATGTTCAGATGCAACTAGGGAAGAGCATTCCTGGCCATCTTGCCCTTGTCCAGAAGTCCCTGAGGCTCTATCCATCACTTCCTCCTCAGCAAGGGGCTCCCTATCAATGGCTCCGTAGGTTTCCTTCTCACTTTCATTTTGTCCATAGCTGGGACCTTTGCATGGATCTGAGTTAAGAAAATGCCCTGGATTCTCAGGCCTGGTTGCCAGCGACACTTCATCACTGGGCAGATTTCCCCGGCAGGTGTCTTCCTGGTCTGGATCAAATGCTCCTGACTCACTGACTCCAGAGGCTTCTAGCATATCTGGGATGTGACTGTCCTTAATTTTTTCAGATGAGCTGGGAGTTTCAGGAGTCAACCTGCTTTGTTCTGAATCTGTAACATATGATGGGGCTGGTAATATTAATGATGACATGTCATTATCTCTCATGACGGAACCCCAAATATTATTTGCGATCAGCTGTCCGCTTTTTTCATTCAGTACGTGATATTCGTTGGGAGCAGCATCGTCGCTGTGCTCATAGGAAACAGGGAGTCCCCAGTCTGCCTGGTTGGTTTCCTGATACTCCACGCCCCATGGTTCTAGCTGTCTCACTGAAAATCGGGTCTCGGGCTCAGCACTTTCAGCCATGTATACTTGTGCTTGACCTTCACCAGGGATCACCACACCCGCACTGCAATCATCCCAGTCCAAATCGTTATCTGAGATGGTCGCAGTGGACTGGGTGTCCTCCAGGATCACTCTGTTCCACAGCTCAAGATTGTCAGGGGCCGCGGGCCGGGAGTTGGTGCTGCTGTGCAGAAGTGTGAGTTGCCGGTTTGTTTCGTTGTACAGATGCATCATACTGGGGTCATCGTAACTGGAGTGGCTGCTTTCTCCAATGTCATCCTCCACGGAGATGTCCTTATCATCTGTGGGCTCTGTCTTGAAAAAATCTTTATCTGGGTTGAGAGTGGCATTTATTTCAGAACTATTATCTGCAGGAGGTGAAGCCCATATTTCTAGGTTCCCAGGACCTGAACTGATTCGATTTCTAGCTGGCTGAAGTGGTGGTTGAGGCGGGATTTCAGTCTCCTTGGTGATACAGTTAGCATCTTTTGACTCAAAATCTCCTTCTTTAGCAAATGGCTTGTTTTCAGTTTCTTTTTCATCTCCAGCAAATGTTGGTGATGTATAAGAATCAGAGGTAGAGTAGTTGGTATCTAAGGGGGAAGGCACTGAATCTTCCCCTATGTTGGATGCACTGTAGTCGGAACATTTATATAAGAAGGAATCTTCCCAAGGAGCTAGGGCATCTGATCCTCCTTTTTTGATACTCTCCTCAAAAAGGTCCCAGGAATCTACCTTTTCATATAGATTCCCTCTGATTTTTGGAGCCATGCCACCATCCTGATCTTCCTTTGCTGTCTTAGAATTATTCCATGCATGAGCCAGGTCAGACCTGGGATTTCCAGATATAAGGGGATTAGCCCTGGAGTCATGGTTCTTTTTGCCCCAGATTTCTGGAGCTGCTTCATTATTTGCCTCACTGGGTGAATTGTCCACTAAGTCCTCTGCAGGAAAAGAAAACCCACTTTTTGCCATGGCCCACTCCTTCGGGTCCCTCACAGACGGTGTCTCACCGCACGTTGGGTGCATATTCCAGGTATTTTTCAGAGCCTCAGTGTCATTCTCTGTACGAAATGCGCTCCAGGCCGGGAATGATGCTCCTGCAGCTGGTTCATGATCATCTATGGCATTTCCCCATGGCTCAGGCATCGATGTGGGAGAGCGATTGGAACTCCACAAAGCCGCGAAGTCTTCTATCAGATGGTTTGTTCCTTGGGGAGACACATCTGGCAAAGGCAGATTCTGACTCTCTTTCTCAGCAGGCAGGTTCTGACTCTGCAAACTTTCCTCATTCTGTTCTCGAATATTATTATTGCCCAGCCCAGGCTGACCAAATTCTGACTCCCAGGGCCCTGATCTTGAGAATTTGAGACTCTTTGGTTGAAATATAGAATCTGAGGCTCTCCTGTCGACTGGGCTTGGCTTACGATCTTTCCAGGATTCAGGGCTTTGGAAGACAGATTCCTGTTCACTGGGACTCCATGCATCTGCAGTAGTTTTAGAGTCAATTTCCAAACCACCCCACCAGCTGCTGCACCGTGCACGAGTCTGAGGTGGCCCTGTGTGACCTGTGTCAACTGTTTGTTGGGTCATGTCTTCGGAACACAGCAGACCTGGTTCTTCAGTAGATGGTGAGCTTTCTACAAAGCTGTTCATAGGTGTAGGTGGGACCCGATTTCCAATATTTTTGAGCCTTTCTGGAGAAAGAGATTCATCTGGCACAAGACTGGTCAGGCTCATGTTTCTTTTAGAGTTATCCCTGGGACTTTCTTGTCTCTGGACAAACTCCTCATCAAATTCTACAAGGTTATCTTTGCCAGCCTCTGACAAAAGCGAACTGGATGAATAATTGGACATGTCCACCCCTATCCCATGGAGCTCTTTAGGCTCCATAGGGAGATGTCCTTCCGACGAATCACTGTTGGGGAAGAAGTCATCTGCCGGGGAGTAGTCAGCAGAATGGGAAGATGGTTGGGACTGTCCAGAAGCCATGGGTGCTGCGTCAAAGTTGAAGAGGTCGAAATGTTCCCCGTGTTCTCTGGACCGTGCATGCTCCTCCACTACTGCCCCTTCAGGGATGGGACTATAGGAGTCAAACCCTGGGAGGAGGCTATGATGAGACCCAGCGCCTTCTCCCACTGGACTGTCATCACTGAGGAAAACTGAGCTCTCCTTGGATGAACGGCTGCTCCTAATGGTGGCCAACCCGCTATCTGGGCTAACAAGGTCTATGTTGGCATCCACCTGGGCCTGGTTAGAATCGTTGAGATCTGGGGGGTTTTCTATGAAATTCACAGGGTTGGGCTGTGGCTCGATGTCAGAGCCATACAACTCCATAATCCCAGACGATCCCTGGGAGAGGGGCGCGCTGCCTGCCACAGCTTCTGTGGAGGACGTCCGGCTGTTGGAGATCATCTCGGGACACCTCCTGTTGAGGACTTCCTTGACAAGGAGAACCACCTGGTCACAAGTCACTGAAGGGTTCTCCTGCTGGTACACCAGGATCTCATCACAGCCACATTCAAAGGGCTCCAGCTCTAGGCAAGGATTCTGACACTCTTCCAGTTCACAGCAGATCTGTCGGAGAGACACGGGTTTGTATGAGCACTCAGGTACTCTGCAATTTGTCTTTCTTAATTTTTCTTAATATAAAATTAATGTGTGTTTATCAGTCTTAAAAGAAGAGTTCAAATAATTGCAAACTGTGTGAGGTAAAACATGGAAAGTCCCACTTGATATACCACCACCTCTTTCTTTGATCCCATCAAATTGGCTTTTCACTGGACTCAAATCCAGGGGCTCAATTTTGCTGGCTCCTGAAAGTAACAGGTAAAGAGATCTAAAGCCATTTAAATCCTTGCCTCAGTGTAATACACACCACCTTCCAACAGGAGTGAAATGTGGGAAAAAATGCAAAATGTTTTCAAGTTTGAAAAAAAACAGAAATAATGCCAGTTGCTGACAAGGACTAATGGAAAAGCATTGGAATAAAGGAAAATGGGTCAGGAGAAAGGCTTTATTTAGTAGAAGGGAGCCAGGACCTGCTTTAACCTCTGATAGCCTCATAAGACAAAGGAGAAAATAGGAGAGAAAAAGCAGCTGTGGGAGGTGGGGCTTCCCAGCAGCACCCAGGCTCCAACTGTCCCCTCCTGCCCCGGGGAGCATCGGCACGGAGCCCAGAGCAATCGGAGCTGACTTGGGAGGCCAAGAAAATGCGTGGCAATCAGTGCAAGGCCAGAAATGGGCTGCAGCTCTATGATTTTTAGCTAATGTCGGGGATATTTTGCACACTGGGCTTTTGAAATGGCCTCACAGGATTAGTGAAGGTAACGATAGCAGCAACACCGACAATAACAACTACAGAGCTCACATAGATAATAATAATGAACAGTGCTAAAGGTTTCATGTGCACATTATCTCCTTTAACCTTCATAATTCTACAAGGTAGGAACAGTTTATCCCCATTTTGCCAATGAGTAAACAGAGACCCAGGAAGGTTAAATACCTTGACCTGCCACATGCAGCTAACAAGTGAAAGAACCACATTCTGAATTCAGGCAGTTGAGCTGCAGATGCTGACCCTTGACTAACATGAACAAAGAGGGATTCCTTTGGAGTCGTCTTGAGCCTGCATTGCTCAGGGTTCCAAAGAGCTTCCTTCTCTCTAGCGAAGGGTGGGGAGGGTTGGTAAGGAAAGGAGCGGCGGGTAGAGCCGGCTCAAGGGCTTCTAACCCCTTCATCTGCTATTCTACGTTGGTCTATTTTAAATGATCCATTTAAAGAATTGATTTGCAACTAAAAGTGATTTTGAAACCACTGTATTGAAGGTTTAGGAGACATAATTCCTGGCCATAGGAAACCAGTGGCCAAAGATAAAATTCAGCTTTGAAACCCAAGGCAGAGCAAAACATGGAAAAAGTCTCAGGCTGATGACAATGCACAGATGTAGGTGTGTCAGCAAGAAGCTACAAAATGCATCTGTAGCAGGGAGAGGCGCCTCCTTCATATCTGGACATGAGAAAGCACAGAGGAGCTTTCATCAAGATCCATCAAGAAAGCCAAGATGGATCTCTTGCAGAATAGAAAGTGAGGATGTAGAAAAGAAGGGATTTGCCTGTAGCCTCCAGTGGATGCATGGAGTGTCTGACCCATTAGTGAGGAAAGATTCATTGATGAAACCGTTCTAGGCCATGCTGTCCATAGTATAATGAACTGTGTATGCTCTCACATTACTTACTAAATACACCTGGTTTGTTATATCCAGTGCCCCATTGGATTAATTTTTGTCTACATTTTATGTAATTTCTATAGCCTTGGGTTAAAAAACTTAGCTCTCAGCTGAGAGGGTCCAACTGATTACCAGTCAGAATTTTAGTACCCGGAGAGTAACTCTGATTAAAACATCAGATCGCCAGTTACTCAACACTGGGCACCAGACAGGCATTCAGGCAGGGACTAAGAAAACAGCACCCAAAGGAGGACTGGCCCTCACTTGGGTAAGAAAGCTGTGATCCCTCTTTATGGATTTATTCTATAGAGCAGGGGTCTCCAAGCCCCGCCCCTGGCCTGTTAGAGCGGGTCACATAGCAAGAGGTGAGCTCGAATGTAATGCACTTGACTCATCCCAAAGCCATCCCCCCTCCACCCCATCACCTGATCCGTGGAAAAACTGTCTTCCGTGAAACTGGTCCTTGGTGCCAAAAGGTTGGGACCACTGCTAAAGAGAATAAATATACTATTCTAGAAGAGAAGTGGTTATGGGGCTCTTTTAAAAGGCCCAATGTACAAAATGCCAACATTTCTTAAAACTCAAACTCTAGGACTTTATCTCTTGGGCCATTTCCTTTATGCCACCAGTCCATTCACCACCGCCGCATGTTCTGAGAGCAAGCAGGTTAGGATGCAGTGAAATGCACCAGCGTTGGAGGATGACCTTACCTGACTGCACAGCTCGAGGTTCTCGGAGTACACAGCGACCTGCCGCCTTGGCTGCTGCTCCTCTGATGGGTAGCTGGTCAAGAGGATAAGGACGTCAAAACCGAACTTGTCTGTAAATGCTTTCAAATCCTTGGTGATATTGCTGTGAAACAAGCAGTTCTGAAACAACAACAGGCAATTTGATATTAAAGTCAAACTGCTCAGCTTTGGGCAGTCTTTCCACAAATTTGTCTAGTCTTATGATGTATTATGACAGAGATATATTATTAGTGCTAGTGAAATAAACACTTCAAGAAAGTTTGGAAACTTTGATGCGATGGCTTACGATATACCTTGCCTGTTTGTTTTCCTAAACCAAGAAAGGAAGGGGTCTTTGCCAATACTATTAAGAGTAGCTTAGATAAGAAACAGATATTTTAACAAGATATTTGTATTTTTTTCCTGAAATACTTATTTGAATACTGACTTTCCAAAACATATGTTTCTTCTTACTGTTCCGAGGACAAAGGAATGTCTGCTATTATTGTAACCTATCACTAGAAAAATAATAAGTTATTGTTCTTTTTAATTATTGCTGTCTAATGATTATTATTTACTCCAGGCAGAGTTCCTAAAGATGAACCTAGCTGACTTTACTGAATGCTTTTTATCCTAGTATAGTCTCTTAGGAGTTTTATATAAAGGCTGTTATGTAAGATCTGCTTGTTCTATGTGATACCTAAGGAGAAATGAACAATTTTAGAAAAGAAAACCTCTACCATGGAGTACCTGTGGCTCACATCATCCTCAGAAAGTGTGCTGGCCCTTTCAAGTTTTACTAACTACAATAAGAACCACTTTATTGGCATGGTTGTCTATTTTTCTCAAAAAAAAAGAGTGAAGATCAATGCCTGGCATATACTAGTTCCTCCAAAAATGTGTGTTGAATGACTGGAGAGACAGATATGCAAAATTAGCCTGTGCTACCTAATCCTCATATATCAGCATATATATAGCATATATATGATCATAATATATAATCAATCAACTGACTGTGTACTGTGCTACTTAATGAAAATCACTATGGTATACACTCAAGAGAGAGAAAGAATTCTATTAATTTTTTCTAGTTACAAAAGTCATCAGAATTATACACCATTGGTAAAATATTAAAGCAATACAGAAATACATACTACAGAAACTGAAAGTGCCACGTACCCCGAGCTGTGAAGAGCTCAACAGCACAGTGCATTTAGGTGCAGATTTTTTCCACACCCAGATTAATGTTTGTGTGTGGTAGCTCTTTGAAACTTGTGAACTTGATGTTTGTGGCTTAGACTTTAAAATATCCATATTACATGTACTCTAATTCTACCGAATTAAATCTCAAGGTCTCTGAGGCCCCTGAGAAGGTACAAGGGACACCGGGCAGATGCGCAGGCCCAGCCCATCAGCAGCTTCCATACCCCAGAGCCTTTGCTGTCTACTCCTGCAGCAGCCACTCTCATTAGGCATCGCTCGAGGTCACTTTCACTTTTTGGTTACAAGGAATTGCACGTGGGGATTCACAAATGGCTCAGGATATATTGCTGATGAATACCAAGGGTCTGTTGCACTGACTCACTAATGACATGTATGATGTTCAAATACTATCGCCTTTGTAAGCATGTGTTCCAAAATGCCTACTGTCAGCTCTGATGCTTTTATTTATTGTCGAAGGGTATTACTAACGATCTTTAAATAGAGACTTAGAAAATTAATGCCCTTACAATAGAAGTAAATGTTTGGAATAAACTTTTAAAAAAATGGACCTCATACACACACACATTCAAATAGATAAAATTATTTCAAATACTTATTGGTGTTATCTATCAAGAACCTAATACTGAGCTTTTTGCCTTTTTGAATAGTAGAATGAGAAATGTTTCCAAAGGAAAACAAGAGTGGACAGCAACTATCTACATCTTACCTCCAGTGACGGGAGGCTTTAGCACAAGACGCCCTACCATTTTTCTTTCAAAATATTTTAACTTATGTACATAAAACCCCAAAATACATGTATAACTCCTGAAAGAAGATGAAACATTTCTAGGAGATTTTTACATATAATAAAACTGTCATGACACTCCCACTGGGTCACTCGAACAAGAGAAAGCAGGTTTTACTGAGCACAAGATTAGGATTCAGTAGAATCAGCATTATTCAAAGCCATACCAGTGGAACATTTGCTATTCCAAAATGTTGGCTGAGCTCCAACCTATTGGGATCCCTCTGTGTTAAAATGGCAGCGCTAAGATTTTGTGGGACTCAAGTCCAGTGGCAGAGTCTCAGCCATGCCCCAGACCTGCTGAAGCAGAATCGGCATTTTCCACACGTCCTGGGGGATTTGAATGCACACCGAAACCTGAAAGAGCACCACTCTAGGGAGCTATGTGTTCATTGGCGTATTTTCCTATGAAGGCCATCCCTCTGGGTTCTCGCAATGCTGTCACGACACTTCCTGACACACACCCTCTGCTCCTCATTCCTCACACTATCCCCATCATAAAAATCACCCTGCAGTATGTATTTCCGGGCCACTTTGCTAGAGGTTCTCATTTAGCAGGTCGAGGATCAGGTCAAGAATCTGTATTTCATTATGTACCGCAAGTGTTTCTTCGGCTCAAACACCTTTGAGTAACACCCATCCCTCCCGGTTTTTCTCTGGGTGGCCCCAAATGCCATAGGATCAGATGAAGTACTGGTAAAACAAAGATTTATGCGGCTCACTTAAGCATGTTAAAACAACGAAATACAGAAGATGATCAAAAACTATGTCCTACCTATCCTAATAAAACTGTCCAAACAAGGTCTTCCTGGCTTTAGGACGATGTCATGAGTTTCATGTTTAAAACACAATCAGACAAGGGAATGAGCCAGAATCTTCAGGAATCTGGGAGGCAGAGGCTGTTTATTCTGCTTTTATGCCGGTGCTGTTTGCATAGGAGATAATTTATTATTGTCTTCTAGCTACACAGGGAGTCATGTGCTGCGATGGCTCTTATGTTGCTGACAAGCTGGGCTGGCCCTGAATAAACAGCACTTCATCATCACCACAACCCAACTGTAGATACAGGTTGGCATTTTATTCCCCCCATTTCCCTTCTACCTGATAAATTACTGTTTTAGTTGCATGTATACAAATACTATTTGTTAATCTGCTCCAATGTCTCCAAAATGCTTCCCCCACCTTAAGTTAAAGTTATATACATATAGATATATATCTCCCACTCAATTTTACCAAAGATTTAGAAAATAAAGGGATTCTACCTTAATTTTCTACCTCTGCCCCCACTATATAACCTTCCACATTTGAAATATGACCCCAGCCTGAGGTTGCTGCATGGAACGTAGGAAGTTCCTTGACTGATTATTACAGCTGGGGATTGACCATCAGAACCTCAGGCTATTCCCAGTTAGGCAGAATGGGAATTGCTCCCTGTCACAACCCTTTGTCACTCACGTGTCCAATGATTTGATCATTAAGCATTTTAGAGGCCATGGGTCCTTTTGCTTTAGGAGTTCACAGTTTTGGAATGAGTAGGAAAGCCTAGGAATGGGGGCAGAAAAAGGCTTTGTTGTCTCCTGACCAAAGGCTAAGGGGTAGATCTCAAGGGCCCTTAAAAGAGGTTGATGACCACGAAGATAAAGAGCAGGGAACAGAAATTTTATGGCTTTCCTTTAACCAATGCAACAACTGAGATAGCGATAGTGATAGTGTCCAATAGATTTACTATTTTTATGGTGGATAGTGTGTGGACAAATGCAGTGGAAATTTCCATACTCTCCTATTTAGTTCTCATTCCATTGCTCTAAAAAATTTAGTCTTTATGCTATATGCTGATAACTTTAGTGCATCGCACATATAAAAATGATCTGAATAAAGTCTTGTGAACATTTGACTACTTAAATGCGAATATCCCTTGAGAGAGAAAAGCCCACTCTTTTAACATTGCTCATACAGGGGTGGGCAAAAGTAGGTTTATAGTTGTGAGTATGCAAAACAAAGTATATTATTGAATTATTATTTATTTAACTGGTACATTATTTATTACTGTTATTTTTAACCTACTTTTGCCCACTCTTGTATATTCTAACCTCCTGTTGTTCCCCGAATCCTTCCCGTTAGGTGTCTGTCCCCATTGTTTTACTCAAACTGCTGTTCTCAAAAGCACCAATTACTTCTAAGGTTGTCAAATTCAAAAGTCACTTTTCTATCCTTACTCTGCTTGACTTCTCTGAAGACTTCCACAGGCTGACCCTCCCTTCTTCTTGAAACACTTGATTTCTTCACTTTCATGACATCACATTCTCTTTGTTTTTCTCCCATCTCATTGCCTACTCCTCAGTCACCTTTGCTGATTTCTCTTCTTTAACCAGTCTCTAAATATGCACTGCCCCAGACCTTGTTTCCAAAACCTTTTTCTCTCCCTTATCTATATTCTCCCTGGTGATCTCCCCCAGTTACAAGGCATTCAAACCATCTTCCTGCCCGTGACAACCAAATCTACATTCGCCTGAACTCTAACCTGGTCTCTCCATGTGGTATTTCCATGCAAACATCTAATAAGCCATTTCAAATAAAATACAACCTACCTCCGCCACAGTGTCCTACATATCATTGCACAGCACTACCATCTGTCTATTCAGTTCTGCGAGCCAAATATCTAGGAATTATTCTTAATTCTTTCCTCATTCCTCACTCATCAGCACATCCTGTTCACTTCACTTCTGAAACATAGCTCAAGTCCAGACGTTTCTCTCACTTTTCTCCATCACTATTACTGTCAAAGGCACCATCTCATCATCTCTTGCCTGGACTTTGGTGGCAGATCCCCACCTGTGCTCCCCGCAGCTGCCCTTGTCTCCCCAAGTCAGTGCTCCATACAGAACAAAGAGAGAGCTTTTAAAAATGTAAGTAGAATCATGACACTCCTGCTTAAAACTCACTCAAAAATTTCTCAATGTACTTATTATTATTTCTATTTTAATTTTTACTTTTTAATTACAGTTGACATTCAATATTATATTAATTTCAGGTGTACAGCACAGCGGTTAGATATTTATATATCTTATGAAGTGATCCCCTGATAAATCTAGTATCTACTCGGCACCATACATAGTTATGTTCTTGACTACAT